CCGGCACTCCACCAGGAAAGACGACTGGCGACGCCGCTGATACGAGGCCCGGCACCCGCGGAAACAGGTGACGGCCCACCGAAGTAAGCAAAATGAGATGCGTACCCGCAACCGGTTGATGAGGATGGAGTACGGGATATCGGTGTGACGCCTGGACAGGTATGTCGCCAACTACTACTACTACTACTACTACTACTACGAGTCGTAAATCGACTGTGCTTGTGTGTGCAAGAGTACGTATACATGTGAACATGTTCTCTGTTTTACTTTATCACTGTGTATATTCCTGGAGAAAAGTTGAGAATATAAAGCCGTGCACCAAATACTGGGGTCGACACGGAAAAACCCTGCGTTTTGACGTATGATACATGCATGTAATTGGGTAGGGCCGGGTCAAAGGGCAGGATTTCTTAATCCAGCACCCTCGTTAATCCAGCAGAAAATGCCGTAACAAAAGGTGCCGGATTAGAGAGGGACGACTGTACTGTCCTATTGAGCGTTGAGAATGAGACAGAATCGTTCCTTTTGGTACACGTAAACCAGTCAATTTGGGGAAATCATTATATATGCGCCTCGTTAGAATAATGGCGTTTACAGTATAAGTGAGAGTGCGCTTATATCCGAATACAGGCATATGCGTCTATATGTGCGTTACTACGGTACAAATCCGACGGATCTGGATGTCAGATTCGACCAATGGATCACCGCGACTCCAGTGCATCCTAGGGGTCTGGATCCGTCCAAATGACCACAGCCTGAGTCTCATGCGAACCATGGAATTTTTCCGAGGCTGATTTTGCTTGATTGGAAAGCCGATCTCCTTGACTAGAGCGGTGGTCGAAAGGGTACTGCCAGGTTGATGCAGTTCCCATATTTGGAGGTGTCAGGGCAAAGCCAGATAGACCCGTTGTGTCTTTTAAGACACAACAGATGTGGCTTTGTTAAAAGATCTTACCATCGGCATAGCATTAGTGATGGTACAACACACAACACCAGATCTAGATGTACTCACATGTACTGAATGCTGCTTAAGCCGGCAAAGGTCGCTGCGTCGAGGCTTGAAATCAAATTATGTTTGAGTTCCCTGGACATAGAAGCAAGTACTCCAATAGTAAGAGAATGTCTCAGGAGAGAGAGAGAGAGAGAGAGAGAGAGAGAGAGAGGGGGGGGGGGGGAATGGGGCAGGGAGAAAGAGACAGGGAGATGGAGAGAGTAGGGACAGAAGCAGGCAGATCACAGCTATGCCAGTCACTGTCTTATCTTGCACATGCATGTGTACCACTAGTGCCTACATACGTAACGTTGTGATGTTGACCTTCCCCGCTGTTCATGCTGAAACTGCAAGATACTGCATGGGTGCAGTAGAGAAAGAGCGAGTTGTAGATATGCATGCATACACTGCTACCCCATCCGGCGTCGAGGGCGGTGTGCTTGCGTGTTGTGTCGGTCTAGTCCAAGCGCATCGTTCCTGGAGTCGGATTGCACTTTCCGTCACTGTACTTACATATGGGTGAGGTGACTAAGGCCTTGGAAGGCATAAGGTTTGATTTCCTTGATTCTGTTGGAATTCAGAGTCCTGCAAACCAAAGCAAGAACAAAAATAGTGGGATTGAGGCAAAGGAAATTCCAGAATCTCGCCTAGATTACCTTCTTACAAAATCCTGCCCGCACCGTTCTTAAAAATTGGTGAAATTCTAGCCTGGCCGTTCTTCAGCGCTACCTGACAGTACTATACCTCGGTTATCCGGGCGGTCCGGGATCGGGCACTGCTCGATACTTTGAAATGTCCGTAACTCCAAATTATATACATCTTGATGGGGAAAGGCCATAGATATGGCATTATGGCGTCACTATTTCCACAAAAAAGTTACAAAAGAGTAGTAGTATTACCACTGAAAGAGTAGTAGTATTACCACTGAAAGAGTAGTAGTATTACCACTGAAAGAGTAGTAGTATTACCACTGAAAGAGTAGTAGTATTACCACTGAAAGCGTAGTAGTATTACCACTGAAAGAGTAGTATTACCACTGAAAGAGTAGTAGTATTACCACTGAAACTTGTCCAAAGGGTGCCGGATAGACCAAAGTGCCTGTAGCTTCCATGTCCGGCTAACCGAGATATGAGCGTAAGATTGCAATCTGTTGCCAGCGGGTATGTGTGCCCCGGGCTGAAACAACCGGATACAATGTAGCATAGAAAGGCTGGAGTAGAGGTTCATACAACCAAGGTACATGTTGTTGGTTTGACAGCATGAAACAAGGTGGAGGACACCGTGTTCGGAAACAGTGACCTTTCTACAACCATCCACGGTTGGTAGAGCCCCAGTCTGTTGAGACCATCTGAACCCCGGTTCTGACCCAACACGGTGTCCTCAACCTTGTTACATGCTGTTAACCAACACCATGTTTGAACAAAAACCAGGTTTATCTAAAACCAAGGTACATTCACTGCAACTGGGTACAGCTGTATAGGGTACAGCTGTATAGGGTACAGCTGTATAGGGCAATGATCGGCCATCGGCCCTCGGGCCGTACCACCTTTCAGGAGCTGGCTCCGGGCCTGACGTACTAAGCGAGTTCCGCTGTATCTTGTTTGCCTCAGTTTGGGTATGTTCAGCCCTAGTTTGTACAGCCTTTAACGGTGGATGACCCGCACCAAAGCAATAGCCATAATTCTGCCTTTAGACCCTGTGTGTGGGGGGGGGGGGGGGGGGAGGGCAAAAAACGCACCAAATATTGAGGCGAGTTGGCAGCCCTGAACGTAGTCCACTTACACAGCTTTGAGGTTTATCGCGTAACTGAAAAGCCTATTTTCAAGTGTAGCGATTCTGTTGGATGTAATCGTTCTGTTTGAAGAGCACCGCAGTACACACACACACAAGCGCATACACACGCACACATGCACACACATACATACACCAACATCCGCAACCAACACAATAACACCACCAATGACAACAGCAATGGCAATGACAACAGCAATGGCAATGACAACAGCAATAACAACAATGTCCACAGTAATGGAAATAGCAACGGCATCAGCGGCAACAACAGAAACAGCAGCAGTGGCAGCAACAACAGTGGCAACAACAGCAACAACAGTGAGCAGCAGCAGCAAAAACAGCCGTAGCAACAACAGCAGTGGCAGCAACAGCCGCAGCAGCAACAACAGCAGTGGCAACAGCAACAGCAGCAATAACAACAGCAGTGGCAACAACCGCAGCAACAGCAGCAGCCGCAGCAACAGCAGCAGCCGCAGCAACAGCAGCAGCCGCAGCAACAGCAGCAGCCGCAGCAACAGGAGCAGCAACAACAGCAGCAGCAGCAACAGCAGCAACAACAACAGCAGCAACAACAACAGCAGCAGCAACAACAGATGCAGCAACAGCAGCAGCAGCAACAACAGTGGCAACAACAGCAGCAGCAGCAACAACAGCAGTGGCAACAACCGCAGCAGCACCAGCAGCAGCAGCAGCAGCAGCAGCAGCAGCAGCAACAACAGCAGCAGCAACAACAGCAACAGCAGCAGCAGCAACAACAGCAACAACAACAGCAGCAGCAACAACAACAGCAGCAGTAACACCAATGACAACAGGAATATCTACGACTTGAAAAGAGTGGTCTCATAACTTATTCATTAGAGACAGGTGCTGAATGAAGGCCTGAAAAGTGAAAAGTACTCAAATCTTCAGGTTCAAGGTAACTAGGACTAGTAAAAAGCAATGTTTCCGATACTAGTACATGCCCCAAAGCTCGAATAACTCGCCACCATTCATTTCCTCACCCCCAATACACCTGGTTCCACTACACTTGAAACTACAGCCCCAGAAGTTTCAAAGCTACCGTCTAACCTCGACCCGTGAAAGAGCCCAGGTTGTGATGGCATATCAACCCGCATACTGAAAGAGGCAGCCAGTTCACTTGCGCCATCCATAGCAACATCTCCTTCGAACGTTGCACCATCTCGCAAGAGTGGAGGCACGCAACAGTCAGTTAGCCCCATGCACAAGAAGGGCACCGGGTGGGGCACCAAGGACTGTTTGCAAAATTGGCCCACCTCAGACCCGATGGCAAATGCATTCAGTGAGTGCATTCGATGATGCCCGCGAATCGATTCAGGAATCGATTCATGAATCGATTCGGGCTATTCACATCACCCCATGTGAATAGGGTGAATGGATTCTGAATCGATTCCAGGGCTCATGACGTGAAAATCGAACGACTTGAATGCATGCGAATGGATTCATGAATCAATTCAAGTGCATAATCGAATGCAGCCAGTGGCTTGCCTCCCTGATCTCACCAGCACTGGCTATCGTGAGAATAAAGATTCGAAGCAGCAGCAGCAGCAACTGGAGCATACCATACATGAAATGATCACAGGTGCATTATACATGAGCGCTGCATATGGCTAGCGTCCAAAACGAGTCTTACAGTTTTTCCAGTTTACTCAATCCGGAGAAGTGATATGTGGAAAGAGTTCTTAGACCAGCGCCCTCCAGAGACCTGTAGTAAACAAAGGAGAAGGAGAGAGAGAGCATAATGCTCATTTCAGTGACATTCCGTCTCGTGAGAGAAATCTGTGATCTGACAGTTTGAGACCTGCAGTGTACGTGCAACGAGTAGGGAACTGTTAAGTAACCATGGCGAGTGTGAGTGACGGCGAAGGGAGAACATGTCAGAGAGGAATGAACTCATGCACAACATGAAGGGTATGAAAATTCGTGTTGCGTGATGAAATGAGATGAGATACATAGATCAATTCTTTCTTCTTTCTTGGATCTTCTAATTAGAACACAAGTGCTCGTTCTTCTTGTATTGCTTTCACACCTGTTAAGCTTTGTCTCCACTTGGTGTCCCATGTTTTTTGGAGTTTGGGCAGGTCTTCAAATCCTTAGTGTCATTGATACCAGGCATGCTGTGTGTGACATGTGCGCAATGTATACTTATTTATGGCACATACACATTTCAGATGGGCACCGAAATTTCCATGATGGAAGGGCATGAAAAAAGAATATTCCAAAAATTATGCCTAAGCAACCTTTTTGCTTGGCTCTGCTCATATTTAATTTATTTATATACCGTATTATCTCTAATATAAGCACAGTCTCCAATAATAGCACGTCTCCAATAATAGAACACCTTGGGGCGGCATTCAAAAAATAAAGTGCTCAGTCTCCATTATAACTTAAGCACACGGTGTAAATTCATTATCTGTACCGGCGAAAAAACCCTGAAATGTGTGTGTCTGACATGAATTTGGCATGGCAACAAGCCTCTGAAATGAGGTTGAAATAATAATGGAACAGTCTCCAATAAAGGAACGTCTCCAATAATAGCACGGGGTGGAGGTACATTGAAAAATAAAGGACCGTGCTTAGGGGCCGTCCAAGGTTACCAATAATATTTTCAAAAAGAAATGTTTTCGTTTGGCGGTGCGTGGGTTTGATGGAGTTTCGTTTTGAAAATAATTATTGAATGTAGATGGAGAATGTCCAGTTACTTCTGGGTGTCGAAAATTGACATCAATATTTTATTGGAGTTCGTTTTACCTGCAGAAAAGATGGGTGGGTGGGTGGGGGCTGAAAAATACTAAAACTTTTCGTTTTGCAAAGACAATCGGTAACCCCGGACGGCCCCTTATATTAGAGATAATACGGCAGATAGTTATTTAGGGGCCGTCCGTAAATATCGATGTTTTTTCAAGACGATATTTGTTCATTTCTCCCCCTCTTTCCCCTTCCTCCCCCCTCAAAACGAACATACACATGTTTATGCAGAGGATCGATATTTTTTAAAGAAGTGCAATGTCCTCATGAAACGTGACCATGTACCAGCTGCAACTCTAAATTCACCATAAACCTAGGTTTACGTTACCACGGTCGCACAGCCTTGCCCTGGCTATGTAGTGTATTCACGAGGTTGACTTTCACTTTGTGTAGGTCATAATCTACATGTTCATGTTTGCACAGTGCCCGTCCATAGATAAACTTCGATATTTTTTTCACAAAGACGAGACGAACACGGCCCAAGCCCCCTCCCCCCCCCCCCCCCCAACGAACTAAAATATTTCGTTTGGGGGTGGGTGGGATTGATGGAGTTTCGTTTTGAAAATAATTATTGAATGCAGATGGAGAATACCCAGTTACTTTTGGGTGTCTATTGGAATTTTCTTTACCTGCAGAAAAGGCGGGTGGGTGGGTGGGGGCTGAAAAATACTAAAAAATTTTAATCCTTTCACTACTCATTATTTTCGAGTCAATTCACAGTCGACAAAAATACGACTTTTGTTATATCTCTGCTCTCCTTTGGCCATTTCTCACAAACAACCACTCTCTGGATAGCTAATGATGGCAGCTACGCACTCGTAGAAACTACAACACCGAGCGTCATTTGTGTGTGCCGCGTCGTGATGAAGAAGACGTTTTCAAACTCAAACAAATATGCGCAGCGCGATCTGTCACGAGTGGCTCACTGATTTGTAAAATCGTGCGTCTTAGAAACCAGGCGAAGTTCTTGTCAAAATACCTAAAACCCGAAGGATTTCCAGCCCCAAAACGCATAGGTGAGCGAGAAGATATCAGAGTTATTCTCAGCGTGACGGTGACTCGAAATGTTTGAGTGCTCATTTTTGATCGTGCACTAGCTTCGAGCTTCGTCGTGTGCCAATTATGCACCAAGGAGTGAAAGCGATAGTTGTAGTCGATAGTCAAGGTCTTTGTGAAGACGTAGAGCCCTCACTTGTAATAATCCGACAATATTTGCGCGTGTGACGAAATATTGAGTGATCGCCTATTGCATCGATCCACGTGGATCTATATTTGAAATTGGTAGTGAGAGGGTTAACCCTTTAAGAGCCACAGGAAAATTTCAAAATTCTGCATTGTTTCGTGTTCCCGGAATCATAGCTTCAGTTCTACTCACTCAATCCTAACAATCTAGGGCTTCCTGGAAAGGTCTCCGCGAGAGGAAGAGAATGAGGTCGATCATGATAGCCAGCACACCATCTATCCAGCGCTAGATCGCAGCGACAGTACGAAAAATGCCCCAAATGCGCCCAATTGCGTCCCGCTCCAGATATTTCATTTTACTCGATCGTGGAGTTCCAATTTTTTCGCTGTGTACTCTTGACAATATCAACAGTTAAACCCGTGCAGATTCGAGTAAACCAGCGTGACGAAAAGTCTCAAAGTTCTCAATACTAAAGTCGCACTGCGCGCTTTTGAAATTGCCGCGATCGCGGCTCAACTTACGAGTGATTTATCTCAGGAACCGTTGCTCGCAGCGCTTCACGGATTGTTTCTCCCGACAGGCGAGAGTTTGCTCTTCGCCCTGGATATTTCGATCACTGGATTTGAGCGAGATTGGACTGAGTTACGATCTTTTGAAGTTTTGCATTTGAATGCGTCGTTTACGACGCATTCAAGTATGGGGCGGCTCTTAAAGGGTTAAAAACAATCGGTAACCCGGACGGCCCCTTAGGAACAAAAACTAGTCATTTGGGGGGGGGGGGGGGGGGGGTGAGCGCCTGTTTGTTTCTCGAAAAATATCAATGTACAGTTTGTACGTGCGAGCACGTAAAAAAAAAGAAAAAAATATCAATACCATGTACCATCTGTATTTGTTTGTTTCTCAAGGAGGGAGGGGGGGGGGGTGTTGAAGAGAAATGACTAGTTCTCATTTCTAAATAAATATTGGTATTTACGGATGGCCCCTGAGGCCATACATGTGCTTTCTTTTTTGCCGTTTGTTTAAAACATGCTGGGTATGTACAACATGACAAGTTGTACATAAGTTGTACATAAGTTGTACAACCAAGTTGTTGGTTGGCCGTCCGCAGCAGACACTGCCGTCCTCATCAACCCATGGCCAGTTACTGCCCTGATGAAGCTGACGTCGATCTCCTTGCTTCACTAGATCACTCGCAATCACAGGTCTCTGCTACATCAATGACCGAGACAAGACCTCAGCTTTCCCAATCGCCAAGTCAACGGGGTGCACAACAGTCGACATTGACAAGTTCATCCGCTACCGGTACCCAACAGCCTCAGCCACAGCAACATTCAACCGCACAGCCCGAGTCCCAGTCAAGATATACTGGTTCAGCTACTGGACTAGTCCAGCAGCGTCAATCAAGACAACACCCAACCCCACAGTCAGCACCGTCGTCTGCATCTGCGGACTCCATCCCTATGGAGCAACATCCTACCCTGAGCAATGCAGTGGAGAGTCTCCGGACAGGTGGCATTGATAATCTGAAGAACACACTGGGCATTGTGTACGATGAATGCGTCCACTGGAAGGCAAATGTTTTTATGGTACCATTTGGATCGGCCGGAGCAGCATTCGTTGGTGAGCTAGCAAGGCTCGTAGCTGGCTTTGCCACTGGCTCCTCACTAAGGGCCGTGTCCTGGACTGCTGTCGTGGTGGCCAGTCAGCTGCTTCTCCAGCGGCCACATCCCGAGAGCCGTTCAGCAGAAAACGCCACCCATCTAAAAGGACGACTGGGAATGTGGTTAGCTGGTGACTTCGATGACCTTCTAGATGAAGGTAGATGCATCCAGGCACATCTCAGACCACAAAGCAGTAAAGGACGCAACGCTACGGGCTTGGATGACACCATGTTTAGCCGACTGGTTTTCTCCGGGCGCATTCAAGCGGCCTCCCGTATGGTGCAGTCAGGCGGAGTGGGTCGGGTCCTGAGGATGGAGGACTGCGTGTCGGAGGACAAGACAGTCCGAGACGTACTTCTGGAGAAGCACCCTGTTCCCCAATTGGCTGCGAAGGAAATTCTGCAGCCTGATGGGGCAGTTCCAGCGAATCCGATTTTCTTTGATCGAATAACGTCACAACTAATAAAAACCACCAGCAGATCAATGAGCGGCTCTGCTGGTCCCTCCGGTATAGACGCTGAGGGGTGGATCCGCATGCTGACATGTTATGGGTCGGCGTCTAACAATTCGTCCTCCGCGCTTGCTGCCTCCGCGCGTTTGCCTTTGCACTGAGAATATAGACCCTTCGTGCACTGAGGCTCTTACCGCGGCTCGCCTAATCCCTTTGGACAAATCCCCAGGGGTGAGACCTATAGCCGTTGGGTTCAGGTGCATTATGTGTCGCGCGATCATGAAAATTATCGAAAGCGACGTTAGGGACACCACTGCACCACGACAGCTGTGCATTGGCGTGCCCTCTGCTTGCGAGGCCTCGGTGCATGCCATGGATAGTCTGTTCAATCTTGACAGCACTGACGCCATAATTATTGCTTGTTGATGCATCCAATGCATTTAACTCATTAAACAGAGAGGCAGCACTGCATAACGTCCCCATTCTTTGCCCTGCTCTAGGCCAAGCCTTTAAAAACACGTACAAAAGTCCCTCCCGCCTGTTTGTGACAGGTGGCGGCGAGATTCTTTCACGCGAGGGAACATGCCAAGGGGACCCTTTAGCAATGGCGATCTATGCGGTAGCGATCATGCCTCTCATTAATTCTCTATCCACTCAATGTCCCAACACAGCACAGATCTGGTATGCGGACGATGATTCGGCTGCTGGTACTGTGAGCAATGTATTCGACTATTGGTCCACACTTAGTGAAATCGGCCCAGAATATGGATACTACCCCAATGCATCAAAGACCGTCCTTCTTGTAAAGGAGGCACGTGCGGATGAGGCCCGCCGTATCTTTTCTGGCACGGGAATCAGCATCATGACAGAGGGCTGCAGATACCTTGGCGGCGCGCTGGGATCGGATGAATTCCGCGAATCATTCATCCGGGAGAGGGTTGACAAGTGGGCTGCAGAGGTCGATCGCCTTGCGGAGCTTGCTGTCACCCAGCCCCATGCGGCATACACTGTACTCGTGCGCAGCATAATTTCTCGTTGGCGATACTGTCTAAGGGCGGCTACACAGTTTGCGAAGCTGGATCAGGCCATTCGGGAAAAATTGTTGCCCGCAGTCTCCGACATGATTTTGCAAGATGATGACCCGCTGCGATGTTTAATTTCACTGCCTTGTCGAATGGGTGGGTTAGGTATCCCCAAGATCTCAGATTCTTGCGGGGTCGCGCACATAGAGTGCGAGCACACGGTGCGTCCCATCGTCGAATTGTGTGTGCCTCAATTACAGGAACAGCCTGCAGCATCATCTAGGTCTCAAAGCCTAGATGGGTCTCAAAGCCTTCATGTTGCATCGCCTCCTGCCGAATCGTCGGCGGCTTCTCCCAACACGCAATCATACGGTGTTGGAGAGGATGCAGGTGAGGAGGATGGTGATGATTGGCCGCCGCCACGACCTCCTGTGACAGCGCCATCTCACGGAGCTCGCAGCCTCATCAGCAATGCAGTCACGGAGTGTCGCAGGCGCCTGCAGAATACCCGCAAGAACAGAGTTCGTCAAGAACAACAGGCTCTCAACAACATCAAGGACAGTTTGTCTGAAAGCCAACGGTTTCTGGTAAACATTTGCAGTGGTGCCAGCAAAGGAGTCTCATCCTGGCTCACGTCATCGCCAGGAGTTGCCAATGGTACGGTATTGAATCGCTCGGATTTCAGAGACGCTATCGCCATTCGTTACGGCTTGCAGCTGGATGGCCTTTTCCCCAAATTGTGTGTGCGGCGAGGCAATGACGGTGGACCATGCGATGACCTGCCCTTGCGGAGGGTATCCATCCGCCAGACACAATGAGGTCCGGGATCTCCTAGCAGATGTAATGTGTGGAGTTGTTCAAGATGTGGAGGTCGAGCCGAAGCTCCTTCCATATCAGGAGGAGCAGCTCCAGGGCGTGACGGCGAATCGCTCCGTTGAGGCTCGTGTTGATATACGGGCTCGTGGTTTTTGGACGCGGCAGCAGGAGGCCTTCTTCGACATCCGGGTGACGCACCCTAGGGCCAGCCTGCTGTCGTGTTCCAAAGTCACGAGTCAATTGGAGCGTAACGAAGGAGAGCGAGAGGATCAATACAGTTGATAGAGGGAGTTTCACTCCGCTGGTGTTCGCGACAAATGGCATGGCTGGGAAGGAATGCACCATATTTTTGAAATATCTGGTTAGCCTGATTCTCGAGAAGAATATCGATCTTTCGTACTCTGTTGTGATGAGTCATTTGCGCTGCCGCTTATCGTTTTGTCTCCTTCGTTGGTGTATCACTTGTTTGCGTGGCTGCAGAGCATCCTATCGTACTAAGCGCTCTGCAAATTTTGTTCATGAATGTCGTGTACTGTCGCGTGTTTAAATGTCTTGCTCAGTTTGCAAAAGATCTCCAGATATGTTTTTTTAGTTTTAGTTTTTTAGTTTTGTTTTGTTTTTCTATTACGAATGCCCTCTTCATTGTAATCCCTGTTTCGTGCCTTGGAGTTACAATTATGTTCTTTTCTTGTTTTCTCGCTAGCTTCTCTGATTATTGATTTTGAATTGCCTTCATCATTGTTTTGCTTTGAATCTCTTTTTCGTTTTTGTTCCTTTTCCATATTTATAACTTTTTCAAATAAAGATTTTGAGTAGTAGTAGTAGTAGTAGCAGCAGCAGCAGCAGCAGCAGCAGCAGCAGCAGCAGCAGCAGTAGTAGTAGTAGTACAGGTAGATTCCCTTTAATTCGAGTACGGTATAATTCGAACATTCCGTGTAATTCAAACTTTTTCGTCGTACCGATCTTCTGCAAGTCAAAATCGAATGCATAATTCGAAGTACGAAAAGTGCGGCCGCTGGATAATTCGAACTCTGCCTTCGTACAGAAGAGCAGTTTACAGTACAGTGACTATGTCCTTCGAGCGCTTATTTCGAAGTGAGATGGAGTTGCTCTACTCGTAATTCGAAGTTTATTTTTGCTCCTTCTCTACCGAGAGTAACTCAAAAATTGATCCCTGGTCCGCTCCAGGATCGACAATACCGTTGAAGAAACCCACCTTCTCTTGAAATTTGATCCAAGCCTGTGCAAGGCAAAGTGCAAAGATTTGATTGAAGACGACTTCTTCCAGGTGGTTGGCTCCCTTCGCGGATTTTGGAGGTCGGTCGCTTTTCCCGCTGTGTGTGTGTGTGTGGGGGGGGGGGGGAGGGGGGGAGGGGGGGGGGAGGGGGGGGGGGGGGGAGGTCACACTCATATCGTAAAGCATAGACTAAACTACGCCCTGCAATGTACGTACATTTTTTCCAATGCTGGCAGGCGAGCCAGAGCGCCACTGGGAAACTCATTAATAGTTCCCTTAGCTACCCTGAAGAGCAACAAATGACACAATCACACGTTCACACATGCATATGCACACATGCACATGCACACACAAATGCACACATGCGCACGCACACACGCGCACACGCGCACGCACACGCACACATACACACACACACACACACACACAAAGATGCAGCGAGTGCAAACAACAGTCACAATTAGGCCATGGTAAAAAATAAAGTTGATTCTCAGGTCATGAGCCTGTGAAAATCGGTGCGAGCGAGCGATTTTAATTCCCACAATTTTTTTCTTTCCAAAGATAGGGTCACACATGTGTACGTCACAGGTTCATAATTAATTTATAATTATTTTATTATTCAGGCCAGGGAGTAGAAAAATACCGGTATTTTACTACTCCCGGATTCATGCCTTTCGCATTGACCGTTTTCATGCACGCATATGCATGCATAGAAATAAAAAAAATCGTCGGTGCGCCGCCAAAAATCGATGCGCGCGTACTTGAGAATCAAAGGTATTTTTTACCATGGCCTTAGTTTTACAGAAGTGCCAGATCCACATTTTAATCAATTTCCCTCAGAAGGCCAACATGTTTTATCCATGTTTCGCGTCTTCCACGCATATGTTTTGATTTTTTCGGAAAAATATAAAAAATATCGAGCATGCACATGTACAGAGGTCAGTGAGTGTACGATTGTGCCAGTCATCATGCTTGTGAACCGGCTGCATACGTCGAAGCTGGGATTCAGAAATGGCCTCGAGGTCAGCGTTGGTAAATCGCTTGTTCCGCAACTGCGAGCAGTGTTCTATGCGCTTACACCAGACCGCATCGATCGCCTCAAGCTGAGAAGACGCGTCGTTCCGCTCTTTGCACCACTGCTGAAGTCTGAGTACAATAACCCAGCGAAGCATGGACACCAACGGTTGCCTCCTCTGCCCAACGTGAATATTAATTTACTAATGCTGATAACCCAGATTTTGGGCTTCGATGCACAGTTTTTCTTTTGAATGTACACCATCAAGAGTACATGAAAACCAGAGTGTGCGGCTTGGGGCATTTTCTACTATGGGTGTCTGTCACGGCGGAATTCCGCGATAACATCATATTTGGCGCAGGTTTGAGGCGGGAAGTGGCGTAGTGCGTACAACTGAGCTGCAGTGGTGCAGAAAGAGACCTGCTTGAATCCTGCCTGTACGCACTACATCACTAAAACGATGTAATCATGGAATTCCGCCGTGACAGCAACCCATCCGAGCTGCACACTCTGGTCTTCATGTATTCTTGACACCATGCACTAGCTATGGTGCTGTATACTAGATATGCGTATAGATTATAACAAGGAACCGAGTGTATATATCTCGATATACACGAGGTCCCTTTGTTATAATATAGTTATATCTCTACATATTCACCGTGTGTGACCTCCTAATGTTCCTCGCCGACAACTACTGCTAATTTCCCTTAGGGCGCGCTCACACTGCGACCATGAGCACGCGTTCATGCGTCACCAAAACGCAGAAACGTGGCAGTCGTGCTCACACTAGGCCTCGTACAGGCGTAGACGTGAAGTTGTCACACAAACTTTACGAATTGCAGTTCGTGTCCAAAAGAGTTCGTGCGTTTCCTAATAAAGTTGTGGCCCGTTTTGGATGTAATTCTTCGCATGTTGCATGTTGGAGGAAGTGCCTCGTGGCTCGTATTCTTGAAGTCGACGAAAATAATTCATACAATCATGTATATAGTAGGTTTGGACTCTTGAGGGGCTGCCACTGACATCCAAGCGCTTTCGCTTTCCTGACCTCGTGGTCAGAGCAAGTGCCAGTGCAGTGGAAATTCCGGAATTGGTTTCTTTTGTCTGTTGCCGAGATGAGAACTGTATTTTCCAATGACATGTAACTGAAATGTCTTGAGGTATGGCATTCCATCATCGCAGAAAAGTAGAGAAAGATGATTTCCCAAACCGAAAGGCCAGACCAAGCTGCGATCGTATTGAACGAGTACACTGTAGAAATTGGTCGCTGACCCGATCAACTGACAACGAAGCAACTACAAAAACAAAATTGACATCGTCCAAAAAGGGCAAAGAATGCATACATGTATGTATATGGTGGTGCGTGCGTGCAGGACCGCAACTACAAAATTAAATGTGCAAATGTTGAGGATGACATCGACAACCGCCGAGTTTCATGAATCAACACACCGGAATTTGAGAAATTGAACAATACTTCAGGCCAGGTTGTACACAAATACGCTTCACGTCTATGATCATGTTGCCACCAAGTCATGGAACCCCCCTCCGGAGGTCGCGGTCACGATTTGAAACGTGGCCGCGACGTTTTGGTCGAGTTCATGCCGTTGCCATGCAACTTGGCCACATGGCCGCATGGACGCTGGTTTTGGTGGCAGTGTATATGGAGATTTATCACTCTCTTATTATTGACCACCACAGGAACTTGTGATCTCTAAGGCTGTCATCACACCATGGTACAAAGCGCTGCGTCTACGTCCACGTGAGGAGTTTTTGGTCGGTTGTCATGATGATCCGTATACGGGGTGAAAACGGGAGCAGAGGAAACGGGAGACGTAGACGTGGTATGGGGGGGGGGGGGGGGGTGGGGGGTATACGACTTTTTGTATGAACGTGCGTATCTCCCCCAGCCTTTTTCCGAGCGACCCTGCACTCCGATGTACGTGAGTTCAAATTTCTCGAAAAACCTGACTGCGTGTACGCGTCAAGAACTGTGCCTGTCTGATGACATGACCACCCGTTTTTGTTTTTTCACCATAGAGGTAGACGTAAACGGGAGTCGGAGAACGTAGTGTGATGACGGCCTAAGCGGTCAAATATCAGCATATATTGACCGCATATATTGACCGCTTATATTGACCACTTATTATTGACCACTTATGGGGTATTCACACGACAGGCAAATCCACGTGCACCAGAAAGTTGCTATGGTATTTTACCTGTGAACGAGAAAAGTGGCTGAAAGTGGCGGAAAAGTGCAAGCGAGCTGGGGGCCCACTTTCACGATAAGGCCGTTATCACACTGCGTTTGTTTGAGTCGCGTTTGCGTCTGCGTTTGCGTTTGAGACTGGAAAACGCAAGACTTGATATCATACTATACTTGTGATTTTCAGCGTTTGCGTCAAAATCTTTGCTCGCGGGAAAATACAAAAATGTGGGGAATCGATCTCCAGGTACTAGGTGGCCGTGGATGTTGAATTAATTATTTTCCTGAGATCGAGAAGTGTTCTGTTTCTGCTCCTATGTCCTTTGTCAGTGGTGCTGGGGGAATGGGAGTCGATGGGAAGACTGCAGCCGTTGCGTTGCCTGTGTTGGGGTGGCAGTTCCGTTGTTGAGGCACATCGTCCAGCTAGGCTAGCCGTTGCCAACTAGTCAGCGCAACCTCAGCCACGAGCTCGCGTCAGCTCCATGCCTCCCAAATCCAAAATCAATCAATCAGTACAATGTCATGTAGTAGAAGTACCCTCGCCGGCCTCAGCAACTAGATGAAAATGAAGATTTGAAAAGCACACTTGAGAATCACTTGAAAAAAAAACACTCAAAAACAATGCAGGAAGTGCTGCGATAAAGAAAGTCCGATCTGCGTTTACGCGATTCAGTTTTGACTACCCCCCCCCCCCCCTCTCCTCCTGGTTTGCGTCTGCGTCTGTGCGTCTGGAAACCAACGTGCTCGTGATAACGTCACGTGATGGCATTTCCTAGGCGACCGTCAAAAACCGAAGAAAACGCAGACGCAAACGCGACTTTCGAACGCAGTGTGATAAGGGCCTAATCGTGGCGTGCACGAGTACATTTACACTAGGGGTGAAAGTTGGCACTGAGATCCCGAGTTCGAGTACTCTGATTTTTCTCCGATCGAATATTCGAGTATTCTTCATCTCCTAAAAATTGCACACCAAGGGCCTTAAAATCACATGATACAACCCTGGTTGAACCGAGTAGCAGTCATTTTTCTCGGGTATATTGGCTGGTGGGTCATTTGGGCTCCCTGTACTCATGAACAAATGTTCACCACACAGCCGCGGCTCTTTAGAACATGATAATTATTGTATGCGTGTTTTGAAAATTTGAAATACCCATGGCTACTGGTCGGTGAAGCATTCAAAATGCAAACATGCCTGTCGTCGAGTGCAGCTGTGTGAATCCACACAGTCACTTTTCTCGTATGTCACTCCCTGTAAAACGTGCAAGTGCCTGTCGTGAACTTTAGTAGAACTTTCTCCTCAACTTAGAAAAAAATCAGAACTGAAAGAAGAAAAATCTGAAGCCAAATGCTGGGATTCGAACCCAAACTGTCAGATTCTCAGTCAAAGAACTTGGGGAACATACTACAAGTGACAACCGAAAACTTCTGTTTATAGAGAAGTAATGTCCAATGTGAACGGCATATGTACATACTATGTACTATTACAATAGTATTTCTTTCTTCCTATAAACACAGCTAAAACAGGTTAGGTGTGCCATGTCGTGATAACTCTATTATTGCCCTCATGATCGGTCAATATATGAAATATATTGACCTCTTTAATCGTGCAATAATAGACACCCTTAGCAAACAACGTTATGTTGTAACGGTATTATCGTAAGGGGGAAAATACCGTGATTTGGGTTCAACCTTTAGCAAGATGCACGCTATTTTTAGTACGCTGTTGCCACGAGAATAGCTTTGATTTCGCGGGGTACAACCATTTTTGTCACCATATACGCGATACAAGGTGAAATGCGTACGGACTATGCAATATTTGGCTAAAACACGTACCGTTGGTCACAACGATAAATCAGCCCCCATAACGTTTATACGCTGCAGCTTCAATGCTATTTGGGTGATCAAGGTACGAATACCGTAAAAAATAGCGTTACCGTTGTTTGCTAAGGGTGTCTAGTGATACATATACACCACTAATAGGCCATTCACACGACGGGCAAACTTACTTTTATCGTACCGTTTCCAAGGATATTTACTCGGATACGATACACTTGGACACACGAGTGCAACTGATTTTTTATCTTGGCCGAGGCCGTTTTGCTCGCGATTATCTTTGCGCGCCTGGAAAAGTGTCGGTTGTTGAAAGTGCGTACTGCAAATGCAGTGCTTGAACAAGGGAAAATTCAAAATTGAACATTTCCCGGCATTTTCAGGAGGTCACTATGGATACATTGACGGTTGCAAAGTTTGCCCAGCACCGTGTGAACTGGATCACGGTTTGCCAGTGTTATCTTGGTCACACACGTGCATGTGTTTACACGTCGTGTGAATGGCCTATAAGGGAGAGCATGCCTAAGACTGTAAGTG